GTGTTTTTGTGTTAGAATATGCGAACTTAAACTTCCAGAAAGAAAAAAAAGAACTGAGTGTTCAATTCATAAAGCTAACAATTTCACCCCTCACACTTCCTTGTTCTTAAGAATTTAGACAATGGAGTAATACTCCCAATTACACACCCTAAATGCTCTCCCCGCTCTTCACAAAACTACTCAATGGCTGTTTTCTGTAGAATCAAAAGATCCCATTTTCTTTTCTCTAAGTCACTCAAACAACTCCGTAACCTATATATTCAGAATAACAACACTCAAATTCAAAACCCTTTTACAAAACTCAATCTTTCTCCATTTTCTTCAACACCCACTTGTCCAAAACCTCAAAATTTTCTCCCTCCACTTTCTGTAGAAGATTCAAGAATCGTTGATAAACTTGTACACATTTTCACTAAGCGCCTTGATACATCAAAAAGCCAAGAGCTTGATGAGTTGGGTCCAAAGATTACAACATTAATTGTTGAATTTGTTCTTAAAAGGCTCAAAAGTTGGAGAATAGCTCAATTGTTTTATAATTGGGCTAAGAATCAAAGTGATTTTAGTCATAATTGTCATACATATAATTTAATGGTTGAGTGTCTATCAGGTGCTCGACAAATTGACTCTATGAGAATGTTGGTTAATGATGTGATTAAATTTCAGTGTTATTTTACTCCACGTGCTTTGGGTTTCTTTATTAGGTGTTTAGGTAATCAAGGATTGGTTAAAGAGGCTAATGAATTGTTTGATCATATGCAAAAATCGGGTCTTTGTGTTCCGAATAGTTTTAGTTATAACTGCTTGTTAGATGCTATATCTAAGGCTGATGATGTTGGTTTAATTGAGCTGAGATTGAAGGAGATGAATAGCTATGGGTGGCAGCTTGATAAGTATGCCCTGACACCTACTTTGCGGTGTTACTGCAATGCGGGGATGTTTGAAAACGCGTTGGTTGTTTTTAATGAGATGCGTGAGAAAGGATTGGTCGATGCACATGTTTTGTCGATCTTGTTGGTTTCCTTTAGCAAGTGGGGTAAGGTGGATAAGGCGTTTGAGTTGGTTGAGAGGATAGAAGATCTTAACATTAGCTTAAATGAGAAGACATGTTTTGTTTTGATTCATGGTTTTGTGAGGGAAGGCAGAACAGATAAAGCATTGCAACTGTTGGATAAAATGAGGAAGATGGGCTTTGTGCTGGACATTTCTGTTTATGGTGTGTTAATAGAAGAGTTGTCTAGGAATAGTGAGACTGAGAAAGCTATGCAGCTGTACGAGGAAATGAATGATTCAGGTGTCCGTCCTGATATTAAAATACTGACCGAGCTTATATCTTGTGTGCGTGATGAAAGAGACATGATCCAAATAGTTGAGGAGAGGTATGAGAGTCTTGACCTGAAAGATAGGATATCGTTGTATAATGCTGTCCTGAAAGGACTTATCAACAATGGTTCAACTGATAAAGCACATCATCTACTTTGTGCATCATCGGGTCTTGAATCTGGTGGTGATTTTAATAAGGACAATCCTTTTTTCATGAAGGAACTTGTGTGTCCTGATACCATTTCTTTTGAAATAGTTATTGATGGTTTGTGCCGGGCGGATAGGTTGGAAATGGCTCTCAGCCTGTTTAGAGATATGGACCATATTGGTTGTAAACGCAGTGTGCTACTTTACAATAATTTAATTGATTATTTGAGCAGATCTGGTAGACTTGATGAATGCTATGAGCTTTTGAATGAGATGAAACAGTCAGTATTTCAGCCAACACATTACACATACAACTCAATTTTTGGATGCTTATGTAGGCAAGGGGATGATGCGGGCGCCCTTGCTATGGTGAGGGAGATGCGCGTGCATGGGCATCAACCTTGGATAAAATATTACACGTTGCTCATGCAGAAACTCTGCAAAGATGGGCAAGCAGTCAAAGCTTCTAACTTTCTTGCTGACATGGTTCAAGAAGGATTTCTCCCTGATGTAGTTGGTTATTCGGCAGTCATAGATGGTCTCATTAAGATTAAACAGTTGGATAAAGCATTGTATCTTTTCAGAGAGATCAGTGCTCGGGGTTACTGCCCCGATGTGGTTGCTTATAACATAATGATAAATGGGCTATGTAAGGCCAAAAGAGTACTTGAAGCCCAGGGTCTTGTTGATGAAATGATGGATAAGGGGCTTATTCCATCAATTGTTACCTACAACTCACTGATTGATGGGTGGTGCAAAAATGGTGATATAGATCGGGCAATTTTAAATCTCACTAGGATGACCGAAAAAGAACGGGAGCCCAATGTCATCACTTACACCACTCTAATAGATGGGTTATGCAATGCTGGCAAACCAAATGATGCTATGAGGCTTTTGGTCGAAATGGAGTCAAAGGGTTGCCCTCCAAGTAGAGTAACTTTTATGGCTCTCATTAGTGGTTTGTGCAAGTGTGAAAAGCCAGATATTGCGCTAATTTATCTGCAGGAAATGGAGAGGAAGGAGATGAAACCTGATCCATATGTCTACATAGCGCTAACAAAAGCTTTTATAAACAATTCGAATCCTAATGAAGCTTTTAACGTACTAGAAATGGTGGTCCATGATGAGTCTCTTCAAGATTTAAATGGTAAGGATCTTTCTACTCTTAAAGAGGCAATACTTTCCCTGTTAGCAGATCCAAGGACTTCCTCAAATGTGAAAAACCTGTTGGAGGAGGGTCATTTTACAGCAGTTTGTAGTATCTCTGAAATCAGATGACATGATTGGATTGTTAGATCTCTTGACCTCATCTGCTTGCATCCGTAGTTACTTTGGAATAAGAAAGTAAAACGAGGGAATGGAAAGCAGTATTGTGCTCTATGCTTGTCGGTTTTGGTGTACTAGTGAGTTCTATTCCACACTATTGCACCGTCAATGAAAAGTTCTACGCCTTATATTGATCCCAACAGGAGCATTTTCCATTTTCTAAAGAAACGGTTTTACACCTTATGTTTGATATCATGGCAAACACACAGAGGTATATGTTTCTTGTAAGCTTTCTGCTCTTTGTCTAAACAACTCTTTATCTTGTGACCTCATTTTGTTTTATTAGATGTTTCAAGATTGATAAGATCTGTTCGAAAACTGGAGGTACTCATGAGTGTTGAGGAGAATCCGATGTGTGAACTCTATTATGTAGCAAAGAAGCTTGTGGCTGTATCTTGGGTCCACCCAAGTGCACAAGGTAGGGGGAAATGTTTTCCAAGGAACATATTTTCAAATAAAGAGAACAGAAAGGTTCATATCGTAAGCTGTAAGGTTTGTTCCAAGTTAACAGCTATTGATGAAGACGCCTAGTGTTGTTAGCCAGATGTTATTGTCTAAGCTCTGTTCCTTTTATGAGTTTGAATTTGAAGGGTTAACAGATGCAGGATGGGATACACAATATGATCAATAGGTGCACTCTATCGTATAGACGCGATTGGACATGGAGAGAGATCATTGAATTCTGGTGAGTCTCATTCAGAGGATGTCGCTACATAAGCCTAAGAGGATTGATAGTTTGACAGTGAAAAATTCTGAAATAATACTCAAATATGTATTCAGTGGTATAGTAGTCTAGGACCATTATGATTTTTTTGAATGTCAAAAATACATTATTGTTATAAGCTCATTTCGTAACTTGTACATAATTGACATGAAACAAATTATTTCTCTTATACCCTCCTACGTGTGTAACCCAATTTTATTAGACTCACATGTGGAATGAAGTTTTTTTTTTTTTTTTAATTTTAATTTGGTTGGATGAACGCGAATTAGATAGCAAAGAGAGCAAGGTAAACAAGTTGAGCATGGATCTGAAGAAAATTGTATGGCTCAGTGAGTAATATTGAGTAAAAAGAAGCTCAAAGTAAGAGCTAGTAGTTACCATCTACAATTAAGCAAGGAATTGAAAGAAACTTCCATAAGAATGAACTTGCCACAATTTGGCTCTAATACTATGGAAGCAGAAGTAGAACATCCAAGTTAAAACATTAAGCAAGAGATTAGAGTAGCTGAAGACCATTATATACACCTTTTGAAACAGCTATAGAGTAGTTTCACTTTTGATGTCAAAATAGATGTTTTTAAATTCTTTATTCATTTGACTATAAAGTCCTTTTGTCCATAAGGTATACCATTGCGTACTCTCTCTAGCTGTTGTCACTCTTACTTTACCAAACTAGGCCTCGTGCCGTGAACTTGGCACCCTCTTTACAAGCTAGACTAGTACATACATGCGAAATAAATAAATAAAAAATGTAGTTTGGTACACAAAACATCCCGCATTCACGCAGGATTCGAGGAAGGGCTGCATTCCAAAGGGTGTGATGTAGACATCCTATCCTAATGCAAGCATTAGTGGCTGCTTTCACATCTCAAACCCGTGACCCACGGAGACAACTTTGAGATTTAGCGTTATTTACTCCCTGTTGTATTGTTGAAATGTTCTCTTTGCAACATCATTATTGCAACCCTTACCTGCCCTACCTGGTTTACAACTACTTCAAGTTTCTCCAAAGGTTAGAAACCGATATAGTGATCACCTCCAATCTGAATGTGACTGTAAAGGTTTGTTTTTTGGGGATTTGGACAAGGCCACAGGAAACGGGGCTATTCACAGCTTTTTGTGATTTGTGTGTTCAAAACATTGAGTTTACATAAGAGGACAAAGGACACAGATATAATATTAACTCGTCCAATAAAATGTAGTACACACTTTTGGAGAATGATTAATCAAAACAACAATGCTACAATTTCTTCTTACAGCAATAAAACAAATAAGACACCTTCATCAACTCTAGTATGAGTTCTCCTCTCAAACTGTGTATAGTCAAACCTCCCTATACAGCCTCGTTTGTTCTAAATTTTTTTGGTTGTTACAACGAAGTACTGTTATATAGAACATATATTGTAACATAACATGAAAATTGGTTCCAAAAGAAACTTAGCTTTTATAGTGAATGGTTGTTATATAGCGATGTTGTTATAGAGAAGCCTGGCTGTAGTTATGTATTATACTTACTACATCAGAATCGGATAGTGTGTCATTGGAAGTGGTAACAGTATAAATATATCATTTCAGCCAAATGGTAATCTCACATTTGCAAGAAGTGGAAAAAGTTCTGCTTTCTAATTGAGCTTATATAACCATGCATCCCCTAACCTATCAGTTATATTAAGACAATGGCCTCTGTTCCATCGAATTGTGCATGAGCTTCCTTCTAGTTGGAGATTTCTACAAGTAACTCTATCCCAATTTCTGTGACTGCAACAATCATTTTCAATGAAGATGACGTCCATCAATAGCTCCGCCAATATCAAAGGTATGTATCTATCAAGGGAGCTACATTGTATTTCATCAAGCTATTTTGGCAATGCAAGTTTGACATATGCTGTGAATCTTGGTTTTCAAACTGTAAACTTATTTCAGTCAAAACCTGCAAAAGGAGATTATAACAAAGGTCGAGATCACATTGTTAATTAAAATTATACAAGTATGCTTCCTTATTTTAAATTGTGCAAATTTCTTCGCTTCGGAGTTACTTCTAGTAAAATGCACTTACAAGGTAGGAGTTTAACGCGCTCCAAGACATGCTCAGACGCAGTGAGGAAGATTGGCCACAATCTGAGTAGTACTATGTCGCCTACCACCTATAGGTGGTCGTCCACCTTATAGCTGCCCATAAAGGAACTGCACGATCTTGATCCTATAGTGACATATCACTCTGACTGGCAAGTGTTATCCATCATTTGCCATTCATCTGTAGTGCACTGCAGCCATCTCCAATACTGATTCTTGATTGATATCACATAAACAATTGTTCTTGCTCTTCACAATCATTATCTAGCTTCATTTGCCACAAAACAAAATCTAGAATCATGTAGATTTGATCCGATTCAGGGTGTGCTTTATCATGAGCTATGAATCTGTGAAGAGATCCAAAGATCTCCACAACACTGAAACCAGGAATTTTCTTCACTCCCCGGGTATCCATGGCTTCTCTCATCGCTTTAGCTTGACCCCAGCGCTTTTTAAGCGCATACACATTTGATAGCCCAACATATCTACCATCATGAAATGGCTCCAATTCAATAAGCTTTTTCCCTACTTTTTCTGCAAGATCTAACTTTCCATGGTTGATGCAGCCATTAAGTAACGCACCTAACATGGAAGCAGTTGGTTCCATAGGCATTTTACACAGAAACTGGTAAGCTTCTGTTAAACGACCTGCACGTGCTAATACATCCATCATGCAGGCATAATGCTCACACTTTGCTTTCATGCCATCTTTACTGAGAGAATCAAAGAAACACCAAGCTTCCTTTACTAGTCCGCCATGAGCACAAGCACATAAAAGACACAGGTATGTAATCTCATCTGGTCTAACTTTTAAAACCTGCATTTCCTTGTACAACTCGAGAGACTCAGTAACCAGCCCGTGTGTTGCCAAACCTCCAATCATGGAATTCCAAATCAAGACATCAGTTTTTCTCCCTAAAGCTTCACGAAACACAACCAATGCCTCCTCTACTGCACCACACTTAGCATACATATCAACGAGCGACGTCCTCAACACTAAAGTCATAGGCAACCTATTCTCAACCACGTACCCGTGCATCGCCCTCCCTTGCTCAAGCGCACCCAAGTGAGCACAAGCACCCAATACACTCACCATGGTCACCTCATTCGCTTTCGGCCCTTGCAATCTCATTTTCTCAAACACCGCCAACGCCTCAGAGTATTCCCCATCCTTAACATACCCATCAATCAACGAGCTCCACGACACAACGTCTCTCTCTATCATCGAATCAAACACCTCCCTCATCGAAACAACATCCCCACATTTCCCATATCCATCCAACAATGAATTCCATGAAACCAAATTCTTCACAGGCATCTCATCAAACACCTTCCTCGCGCTCAATACATCAGCACAAGAACCATACATATGAATCAAAGAATTCGAAATATACAAGTCATCATCAAACCCAGTTTTCAAAACGCAACAATGAACATTCCTACCAATTCTAACATCAGACAACTTAGCCAATGACTTAACAACAAAAGGGTATGTAAAGTGGTCAGGGACAACCTCATTTTGCAACATTTCAACAAATAAAGACAAAGATTTACATGGGTTTTTGCTGTTAGAATAACCCCTTATTAGAGTATTATAATCAAAGAGTGTTGGGTTTTCAGTTTGTAGGAAAATGTTATGAGCATAGCCTATGTTTGAGGAATCAGATAGTGCTGTGAAATTAAGGATTCTTGAATAAAATTGGGTTTCTTTGTAAATTCCACAAGTTATTAACAAGGCGTGGAGTTTCTTGAACTCTGAAATCGATTTGCATTTTGCCAGAAAGGTTACGAATTTTTGTGTTACAGTGGCGGGATTTGAAGACACTGCAGCATTCAACATCACTCACTTGGGGACTGTACAAGATTTTGCGCGACTGACTACTTCAACAGAAGTGCTATATTAGAAAAAGTGCATAAGTTAAATTTTATTTAATAAAAATATTTTTTTAAATATGGGATATTTTGACTCCATACCTAATAATAGTGTTATATAAAATAAAATGAAGGCATTATACATGTTTCAATTCAGAAAAAATTAAGATAGATATATATATATATATATATATATATATATATATATATGTATCATACTTGTTTTTTTCGCTAATACATTATGTAAACCTGAGATATTCAAATTCACACCAAAAATTAAATGAATTTATGATCGTAGTTATTACAGCAAGGTGAAGATAACACCAATATCTTAGGTTTAATTAGCTAAAAAATTAAAGCATTAAAGATCTTTATCGAACTGTTTAATTAGCTCAATTTTTTTTAACATGCGGTTTTATTTTATTTTGATAATGATGATATGAGTTGAGCTAAATGAAAGGAATAAGAATTTATATCGATGACCTTAACTTGTCTAGGAGTGAGACGTAGTTGTTATTGTTAATGACGTAATTACGTATTCAAGACTTGTGGAAGATCCAACGCCTATTATGGAAATGTTTCTAAATCTAGCTAATTTTGGTTTTGTCACGAGCGCAAAAGACCAATATTAAAAAATAAAGTCCCTGCAAGTAAAGTATAGTATAATTGATGTAGCAATCCTACAATGATTAGAAATAGCTATCAATTAATTTATTCTTGGCAGATGAGAGCAATTAAAATCCAATAATTTGTTCTATATAACGTCCTAAAAAGCAAATACATAAAGCGATCTAAACTTTTGAACTGAGATTAAAGAGATTTACAAAAGGAAGAAAATGAAATGATCAAGAACAGACTGGGTTTGCATCACAAGAGTAACTCCGAATAGTACTGGACTTAATTGACTTTGTGGAAGATATAGAAATATGATAAAAGCTGTCTAAATTAGTAATGTGAATATAGGTATGAAATACATTATAAAGATGCAACGTGATCTTGCAAATTACTGAGTGATGATGTACAGGGTGGATTTACATTGGGTGAAGCGGTATCACGTGATACCGCTTCGTTGGAAATAATATTGGACCGGTCACCCCTATGTAATATACTACCCTAGCTTGAAAATAAACATATCTTGCTAAGTTCATCTTTACTTATTTGTGATAAAAATAGCTTTTCTTTAAAGCCTTTTTTTTCCTAAAACTTTCTTTCTTTATTGATCATTAAAATGATAATCACATCAATGCATTTAAATTGCTTTTTGTTTATACAATGATTTGATTATGTGTTCATTTATTTAAACGTGATATTGCTTAGGCCTTAGGAAAAATAGTGCGCACCGAACCAAAGATTAACTTAAGTAATGATCAAGAAGAAAACATAGACTTTTATTAATTGAGATTTTATGTGAAGAGAGAAAAGTCTATAACAGTATCAGTTGGTTTAGAAACTTGTGAAAGTCTACAACTTCTCTACTCACACGAGTAGTTATGTATCACAACAAGAGTTAACCTGAATACTAGAGTTATTGACTTTGTGGAATTTCATCTCCTTTTAGGGTTGACTATTACAGAAATATATATATATGATAAAAGCTGTCTTTGGCTAGCTAAAATAGGGCTCAACTTGAAAACCGTTATACTGTCTTTGTCGAAATAAAGCTGTCTTTGTCTCTGCCTTTAGAAAATAGGAACTTAATTTGAATTTCTCTTGCACATACAGTTTACTTTCGTTGAGAAAGAATCAACTTTTATCAAGTAAAGAGTTGTTAATATTATATATGATCGAAGGTATACTTTACTAAATGTACGAAATACACTAAAAAATGCAAAAATTGTGTGATCTTGCAAAATATAGAGTGATGCACCGCACCAAATATTAACTTAAGAATGATCTAGAAGTAAACATAGACTTTTATTAAATTAAATTTTGCGTAGAGAGAGAAAATTAGTCTATATCGATATAAATTGATGTAGAAACTTGTAACAATTTTGATTGGTTAGAACAAGAACATACTTCTACTCAATAATAAAGGTCACCGCGTACTTGTTCTTGCCTGGATTATGCAACCAAACTTACAATAAACAGCTTCAGTTTAGTCAACTTGACCTTTTCCTTCTTTTTGTTTGTTCATTTTTTCTCTTTACTGCTTCACGTCTATATATCTCCTTCTCCAGCTTCCTTCAAATATCTTCAATATTCAACAATACAATATCAATTGAAAACCAGCTTAATTTATTCCAATATCTTCTATACAGCCCTCTTTTTCCAGCTCTGATTAAAGAGAAAACCAAGACACCTGAAGATGGTGGATGCCATTGTATCATTTGCTGTTCAAAAACTGGGCGATTTCCTCATACAAGAAGTTGCCCTGTTCAGAAGTCTGAGAGAGGATGTGCAGTGGCTGAGAAATGAGCTGCTCTTCATGCAATCTTTCCTCAGAGATGCAGAACAAAAGCAAGTTGAAGATAAAAGAGTTCAACAATGGGTATTTGAAATCAACTCTATTGCTAATGACGCTGTCGCTATACTGGAGACTTACATCTCCGTGGCAGAAGAATCCGATGACCATGGATTTGCTAGTCGTCTTAAGACTTGCGCTTGCATATGTAGGAAGGAGACCAAATTCTACAACATCAGCAAGGAGATCCAATCCCTCAAGCAGCGGGTCATAGATATCTCTCGCAAACGGGAGACGTATGGTATTAGAGACATCAACAATGCAGGAGAAGGGCCAAGTAATCAGTCCGCCATGGTTAGAACATTGAGGAGAACTACCTCCTATATAGATGACGATCATATTTTTGTTGGCTTTAGGGATGTTGTAGAAAGCTTGCTAGCTGAACTTCTCAAAGCAGAGCCTCGCCGAAGCGTCATCTCCATTTATGGTATGGGTGGTTTAGGCAAGACTACTCTTGCAAGAAACCTCTACAACTCTCCTACTGTAGTCTCTAGCTTCCAAACACGCACTTGGATATGTGTTTCTCAAGAGTACAACACCAAGGATCTCCTTAGGAATGTCATAAAATCCATCCAAGGTCGCACAAAGGAAAGTCTGGATTTGTTGGAAAAAATGACAGAGACGGATCTAGAAATTCACCTTCAGGACCTATTGGAAGAACGCAAATACCTTGTGGTGGTTGATGATGTATGGCAGAGAGAGGCATGGGAAAGTTTGAAAAGAGCCTTCCCAAATAGCAAGAAAGGAAGCAGGGTGATTATTACTACACGCAAAGAGGATGTTGCTAAAAGAGCAGATAACAGAGGTTTTGTACATAAACTTCGTTTCCTTAGCAAAAAAGAGAGTTGGAAGCTCTTTTGCAGGAAATTACTTGATGTTCAGGCAATGGTCCCAGCAATGGAAGAGTTAGCTAAAGATATGGTGATCAAGTGTGGAGGCTTACCTCTTGCAATTGTTGTATTAAGCGGGCTACTTTCTCATAAAAGGGGGCGAGAAGAATGGCAAAAGGTGAAGGACCACCTTTGGCAGCATATGAAAGATGACTCTATTGAAATCTCCTATATACTCTCATTGAGCTACAACGATTTGTCAACTTCACTCAAGCAGTGTTTTCTTTACTTTGGTATTTTTCCAGAAGATAGTATGGTCGGTGTTGAAAAGATAATGTGGTTGTGGATGGCCGAAGGATTCATACCAAGAGGAGAAGAAAGAATGGAGGATGTTGCTGAATGCTTCCTAAATGAGCTTATAAGACGAAGCTTGATTCAAGTCGTCGATACATTTTGGGAAAAAGTTATTAAATGCAAGATCCATGATCTAGTTCGGGATCTTGCCGTGCAAAAGGCATTGGAGGTGAACTTTTTTGACATTTATGATCGAAGAAAGCACTCCATATCCTCCTTATCTCTCAGACATGTCATTCATGGTCAAGCACAAAGGTATCTCTCACTTGATTTCTCCAACTTGAAATTAAGGTCAATTATGTTTCTAGATCGAGATTTTGGTAAGCTGGATCTTTTAAAGTTCCGTAATGTGTTCCAACATTTATATGTGTTGAACTTGGATCTGACAATTTGTCATGGCACTAAACTGCCTGATGCCATAGGAAGTTTGTACCACCTCAAGTTCTTAAGCTTGATAGGTCCCGATCAGATTAATCTCCCCTCCTCCATTAGCAATCTCAAGAATTTACAGACACTCATCAATCTCTTTGATGATGGAAGTGGTTCAAAAGCCTACGGCTCACTACCTCCTGAGACATCTAACCTAATTAAGCTGAGACATTTAATTGCTTTCTATTCACAACCTCTGCAACTTAGCAAACTCACTAGTCTTCAAGTTCTTAAATACATTTGTTGTGATCAGTGGAAGGATTTTGACCCTGTTGGTTTAGTCAATCTTGGAGAATTAGACATGCGTAATATTAAGAAATCTTACTCCTTAAATAACATTAGCAGTTTGAAAAACCTTAGCACTCTCATATTGGGTTGTGCAAGTGGTGAATCATTCCCAGCCCTTGAATATCTTACTTCTTGTCAAAACCTCCGCGAATTGTGGTTAGATGGAAGAATAGAAAAGCTGTCTCAATTCCCAAGTTCCATCACAATGGTGGTCCTTTTGTATTCGAAACTCATAGAAGATCCGATGCCTATGCTGGGAATGTTGCCAAACCTAAGGAATCTCGATATAGTAGAAGCTTATGAAGGAAAAGAAATAACTTGCAAAGGTAACAGCTTCAGTCAACTGGAGTTCCTCCGTCTTGATAGTCTATGGAACCTAGAAAGATGGCATTTAGCCACAAATGCTATGCCTCTGATTAAAGGCTTTGGTATCCATGATTGTCCAAAGCTGAAGGAGATTCCCAAGAGAATGAAAGAAGTTGCTTTCCTGGATAGGTTGAAGCCAATTCCTGTTGAGGTATATTTTATTTACAAATTAATTCTTATCTATAATGACCATTACATTTAATGAATAAAACTGATCCAACAAGATGTTTTGTTTGACATTTTTATAAACATTTAACTTGTATACCCATGACAATTTAAAGAATTTTCATATTATCAACTTCCTAAAATATCAAGTATAAGTAATTGTTTATAAATAAATTAATTATGACTGAGACTGTGTTTGGTATGACAAAAGTCATTTTCCCAGAAAATATTTTTCGGTGGCTGGTTGGTGAATGCAAAATATTTTTTGTATATATTAAAAATTAATAATAATATTATCAAATTGAAAATTGTTCTACTGAAATTTTTATGTGCTAATTAAGATTAATGAAAATGTCTGAGTAGTTGGAGCAACCAATATGAAGGTAAAATTTAAGATAGTTTTACAGAGAAAGTCATTTTCTCCATTTTGTTGGAAAGTGTTCTGATAGGCAAACACTAGAAAATGACTCCTAGTGAAAAACGTTTCATGAAAAAGCGGCCCGAGTTTTATTGGAAACCTTTTTTTTTTGGTAATCAGTTTTATTGGCAAACTATTATTTGGTTGACACTTGCTACTCTCATGAAGATTATAATTAGTCATTTTAGGTAATTCATAATTTTTTGTGTATTTTCCCCACTTGTGGGAGTATACTTGGTTTGTTGTTGTTGTTGTTGTTATAATTTTTTTGTATTTTCTTGAATACTAATTATGAATGTTAAATAGTTTTGGATTTAGGCGAAACAGGAGAAGCAGCTGTTAAGGAAAAATAAAAAGGCAGATGCGGACTTGATACAACGGTTATAAAAAAGGAAGGTAAAAAAAAAAAGGAAGACGCGGAATTTCTGCCAAGCACTTTGAGACATTCGCAGTTGGATTTTAGAAGTACTAATCATAGTTGTCTACCACTTTACAGAGTATTTCAGCGATGTCAGTTAGAGCTTTTTTTTGATTTCTTACTCAATGTCCGGTACCCGCATTGGGGCTCCACTAAATTTGGATTCACGCCGAGATGTCCCATAGTGAGGGTAAAGCACTCTCTAACAAAGGCGACTCCATACCGAGGGCTCAAACCCGAGACCTCTGGTTAAGGATGAAGGAGTAGTTACCACTACACCACAACCCTTGTTAGTTTGTCAATTAGAGCTTATCTCAACTTCTCTGTTTAGTTTCTTTTGAGTGTTTGAATATGGTTTGAAGACAATTGTTTTTGGGATTGTACCCGAAAAACTATTTTCTATTGTTTTAATTGTTCAACTATTATCTTGCTTATTTACATTTAAGGCAAGGCTTTCTGTAATATATTCAACATCTGTATATTCTGGAGTTAGAGAACATCTATTTTTCCAACATATTTGAACTCTCATCCTCAGTTGACGGACTCAAAAGCCTACAAGTCACAAACATGCTTGATCCAGATACAGCTCAAGCAGATTAGCTTGATTAATTTGATTAACTTAAGAAATTAATATAGCTGCTCGATATGGAGAAACTCTGCAAGTCGGCAAACTCACAAATTGACAAACTCCTAAATACATTCGTTATAATCAGAGGAAAAATGTTAATGGTGTTGGTTTGGTCAATCCTCAAGAACTAGTTGTGGAAGTATTTGGAAATCTTACTCCTTAAATACCATTAGCAATTTTCAGTTAGCACTCTTATGCTATGTTGTAAATTTTGGTGAATATTTCCAATCCCTGAATCACTTTCTTCTTGTCAATACCAAACTAGTAAAAGGAAAAGCTCTACACCTAAGCTAAAAAAAACCAGCCTAGTTGGATGGAAAATATCACCCTCCTACAAAAGGGGAAACATTTCTGCATTTCTGAACATAACATTTAGATCATAAGTTCACATTTAGGGTTACAACCAATCAACTTCATTTTTTTAATTAATTCAAGTAATAGAAAAGCACAATGCACATTACCTAAAGTATTGGCTAACACAAGGTTCCCTCAATTATGCTTTTCATAGTTGTTCTCAACCAATTCCTTAGAAAACAAAAATTAACATATTTAGAGACAACATAAAAAGTACTATTAGTGATCCCAATTTTTAACAGCTAAGAAATTGATTAGAATTTATTACTAGAACAGTTTGACTTTGTGAATAGTAATAGAGGCACCCAATTTCAGAGACAAAGGGAGTACCTTTTTTTGAAGAATTAGGAGAAAGATCAGCTGAAGAAGAGCAGTAAATGTCTTGGAACCTTCCTTTCATTTTTTCAAATGGAAAAATAAACAGTTTAGACTTTATTCTTTTTCAAATTCGGAAGGTTATTGAGTTCATCGGAGGATGACGGCGGAGGAGGGTGGCGTTGAACGAAGCGGAGGGAGTTCTTCAGCTTCTGCTTCAGAGATGGAGAAACTATCGTTATGTCGGCTTACATTATGTTCGTAGAGAAATGCAAAAACGACGGTAAGTTGGGGAGGAAATTTTATGTAGCTATACATGGAATTTTTTCTTTCTGTTCTGAAATTGCAAAATCTTTTCATAATGTATGACTATTAATTGTAACAAACACCATTATTTATTGTAATTTAAAGTTAATTAACGATAATACTTTCATTGTATAATTAATTTTTAAAGTAGCTTAATTTTAAAAAAATATCTGTTTGTTTACTGATGCAGAAAACTTAAATTTATATAATAATGAGGACGAAAATATCAGAATGTTCCAACAAATTTATTAGATGGACCCATGTACAAACGTAGTTGTCACTTTCGGGTCGTTTGGTATTATGCATTATAGAAAATAATATATTTATTAGTTTTTGGTATTACTAATTCTTAATTTGGTACACTTTTTCAACCTATTTATTACTAATGCAAATATTAGTTATACAACATATTTGGTATTATTCCATGTATAACTAATGCATGTATTAGCATGGTTAAAACAAAATTGTCCTTAAAGTCTCTTAAAACTAAAGAATATAGAGGGCATTTTGTAAACATCTAATTTTCTTAAAAATTATGCTATGCATTTTAATTTTTAATACACCACGCCAAATAGTGGATAAGAAATAATCTCTACATAATTAGTACTTGCATTACTAATCCATATAATTATTTAGCATTATTCTTATACGCCCTACCACTGTGCCCTGAATAAGAACCGTTCATTCTCAATATTGGAAACGTAATATTTTTCCACAAACCACATGGTCATGTCTCGGATTTCTTAGCTTTAATCACAAAAATGGACCCTTTGGAACACGCTATTTATATACGTGTGTCACACATTTCTTACCATAATATGCATTTCTCCATTCACTTTTGTTACTTTTTCAGTATACTAAAAATATATTTTTACTTATTTATTTTAGCAAATCAAAAAGATAAACTTTTTTTCTTGTTCTACCCTTGTCATTAATTACTCAGTCCCAAATTATTTCTCAATATTTTTTGAAATGCTATCACTATTATAGGTAACTAGTATAGTACTCGCGCGATGCGCGGAAAATACGAAGAAAAAAATATAATAAATTATTAACTTATATACGTGTGTCACACATTTCTTACCATAATATGCATTTCTCCATTCACTTTTGTTACTTTTTCAGTATACTAAAAATATATTTTTACTTGTTTATTTTAGCAAATCAGAAAGATAAACTTTTTTTCTTGTTCTACCCTTGTCATTAATTACTCAGTCCCAAATTATTTCTCAATATTTTTTGAAATGCTATCACTATTATAGGTAACTAGTATAGTACTCGCGCGATGCGCGGAAAATACGGAGAAAAAAATATAATAAATTATTAACTTACTTGCTTAACAGAGTGAGTAAACTTTATGTGAAGACAAAGTTCTGGTATTTTCTACAAACTTCAATTGTGGTATTTTCTACAAACTTCTTTGGAAAGTGTTTTGTACATCTACCATTACGCATGCAAGGAGAGGATTTTCTAGCAGAACCGCATGGGCCATGCATCATAAAATTCTTCACGGCCTTATAATAATACGGATCGACCGATTCATCTGGTATTTCTGCTGAAATTATTTGATCTATATCTCCAACATTTGGATATTTATTATGAAGAAAGAGCAATGTGTGTGCATGAGGCAACCCCCGCTTTTGGAATTCTATAGTATATATCACTGCAAAAAATAATAATTTGCGATTGGGGTAAGTGGTTGTAATTTATATGTAAGACAAAATATTTTATTAAATTAGATTATAAATCTGATAAGAATTTATTAAAAAAGATTAAATATATACCTGATTTAACTGATCCAAAAATTTGTTTCTCTTTCAAATCCTTTATTAAACGATCCAATTTGATTTTGAACACCCTAGATAAAATGTCTGGGCGATCTTCTGGTTGCAAGGCCTTGCTCTTTACAAATCTAATTATTTCAGGCCACTTTGGGTTGCAAGTAAATGTGATGAAGAGATTTGGATATCCAGCCCACTTGCACATTGCCATAGCATCTTGATAATTTTGGATCATGTATCTTGCACCTCCTGTGAAGCTGGATGAAAGAATTACCCTTTTACCTTGAGAAGAAGGATTTATCTCTCTATGTAAAACTGCATCTTCTAATCCTTTATACATATGAGCTCGCAATTGTTTTTGATGAGTTCTGATATACTTCAACCGAGACGATTCAACCATTGTAAATCCATCGACCAAAAATTGTTGAAATAATCTTCTTGAGTTCACAATTGTTGGTACTTCGCCTTTCCTTTCTTGAATTTTATATGCGAAATATTCACGCATCCTAACAAAATGACTTCCTCCAGTTGATTCGTCATTTCCATTTAAAGGAATGTCTTCCCTATAACCATCTTCACCGAATGGAAACAATAAAGGATACTGAAGACCTAAATAGGCAGCATTCAACTCATTTATCCTTTGTAGATGTCCAGATTGGGTTTCAACTATGATGTCTCGGTCACATCTAGATACATCAAAATCTCCAACTACCAAAGCAGCAACCTCTGAAATTGATGGTAAGTTGTATCTTCTTTCATCATAGTTCCGTTTTCCTATCAATCTGAGTCTAAAATTGGAGTGAGTATCTTCATGAAATTTGTCTCTCACCATTCTAAATGACTTTGTCAAAACATTTTGCTCATCAAGCATTTGTTTCAGATCTTGAACAATTTCAGCATGAAGTTGGTTTATTCTATCACCACGACTGCATAAAAAAAGGTTTTATAAAATTGATCTAAGTTTTGTTTTTGTTAGATTATTCATGCATATATAAATTTTGAATAATTAAATACTAACCCCAGTGCATGAATTCTATTCTGAACTTCGTTTTCTGTGTCGTATATATATAATTGTGCAAACTTGGGAGTGGATCCTTCGGGAGGCAATAAACTACTGATTTGATGATAGTTTTGTCCAGATAATTTGAATGTTCTTGGCCCCTTTGTTTGGTTGACAGAAGCATCAACTTTTCCTCCCATTGAGGTAAATGAAAACATTGAGTTATAACTTCTAATATTATCTCTGAAATGGTTACTTTTTGGACCTAGATAAAAGTATTTGTTGGTGAATAAAAATTTATTCATATATTTGAAGATACTATTGAAGTATGGTAAAAGAAGATTTTTTTGTTACCTGATCCGAATAATAATTGTTTTAAAATTGTGGGAGGTTCTTTTGGCTTTGGTAAGAGTATTTTTCCATGATTACAACACAAAGAGAACTCTGGTTTTTTAGCTTTGCGATTCTTGTTGATTCTTTCTTTGTACCAGAAGTAAGCACCACAATGTTCACATTCATATGTAGGATCACCTATATCCCAGAACTCTATGAATAAAATAAGCAAATGTAAGATTAATGTGAAGGTGTTATATTATGGTTAGCCTACTTATTGTATAGACATATAGAAATAATAAATATGCATACCTTCATTGTTAATAATTGCATATCCAACATCAGGCTCTAAATAGTATTAAAATCATATTAAGTTAGCCATATAAATTGAAAAGGCGGACATGAATGAATCATTGTTTGTGTTAAGATAGACATACCTTCATACTCGTCTTCATCTTCAGTTGCATCATTATTTTCTGCGATTGATTTTACGTATTATTACGTTAAGTATTTAATCAAACTACCATTATTTTGAATATTAGTATAAATGTAGTTTATTTGTGTAATTTAATAGATAAAAATTCGATTGATTAAAAACATACCTGGTACATCACCATCAATATTGACATCCTCAAGTTCTAATAATAAATTATAATAAAATGCCATTAGTATAAATAAACGATTCATGTTATATTAATAAATTTATTTATAATACGAACCTGGCAGTAGGGGTAGCTCATTTAAATCTGGTAGAAGATAATTTGTCTGCACATTTGAATTTGACAAACCAAATTGCAAATGTTCTTGTCGAGGTAAATTTGGATATCGTGCATGAGATTGAGACGATGAAGCGTGTGCACAACTCTCTAAAGGTGTATAATGTAATCGTGTGAAATGTTGACGATTGGTTATGTCTGTTAAAGGTTGTGGTGCCTTTTATTTTCCAAATGCATCCCCTGTGATAGTAACATGACAAATAAAGTATGCAAACCATAAAAGATACAAATCAGCTTAAAAAAATTGGAATAAAATATCAGCAATATGACGTTACACCAACAATTCCTAATACAACCATTCTTGACACTCATAAGGGACTGTAAATTTGGAGTAAATGAATGCCTAAAATATATAATTGAATAACTTTGATTTTATAAACATATATACTAATTTTGTAGCTAAACCTTTGTGTCCACAAGTACATATCAAGAAATTTAATTAAATGTCGTTGTAGTTGCACGCTTTATTTTCTCAATCATGTCATAAACTAATGTCCATATTATCTTGAATTCCTGATACTCTGGTAAAATATACATTATAAGACAGTATTGATTTGATGTGTTCTAGTAATTTTACTTTTGACCAAACCATAAAAGCAACTTGTATCCTAGGTTAGCATACCTATTTTTATTCAAAATATTTATAGTTTTCATATTTAGAGGATTAATCTTTTATAAACAGCGTTTACGTCCCAAACAATAATGACAAAAGGATTATTAGTTTGTTAAAAAGATGAAGAACCTTGTCATGTTACAAAGCGTAGTTGCTGCAAAGTACAAATCAAAATAGGAGAAAGAAACTTAATGATTTAATCTGAAATTTTGGGTAGAATAAGCAGGTATGTACAAACACAAAAAAACTATAAGCACAAACCACTAATAATACAAACGCAGAAGTTAAATAATTCAAAATGATTAAAAGCCAAAAAAAGTTGAAGAATGGTGAGTTTAAATAAGCTGGACCCATTAATAAACAACAAAATTATTTTTTTTGACTTTGCTGGACACAATCATCAGTTCAATAGGAAGACACGAAGGCATCTAATTTAGTGATCACTATCAGAAAGTAAATGTGCAAAATGATTCACGATATTAGCCTGTAGAAGTAGAACATGAATTTTCTATCCTATC